GGGCCTCCTCCCCGCCGCGGGGGTCCAGCATTGGGGGGCTGTCCCGGGAGCTCGGGCCTCCGGGTCGGCGGGCGACTCCCGGCTGCGGCCCAGCACCCGGCGGGGCGCGCCCGGGGCTCCCTGACCGTTAACCTCCGCAGAGGGGGACCAGCCGGAGCAAGACAAAAGAAACGGCCCGGGCCGGGCCCCGCCGAGCTCCGCCGTGGGCGCGGGTATTGTTTGGGGCGCATTGGGGGTCATCCTGCCGTGGGCCGACCTGGCCAGAAAGCAGCTGACCCGAGCCCGTTTCATAATCTCGCCCGCCCGCCAGCCTTTGCTTCTGCAGGCCTCGGGCGCCGCTGGGCTTGCACGATCGCTCTGCAGGAGAAGTTCGAAGGGTCGAATCCAGGGTAGTGCATGTCGACAGACAGCATCGCAGGGCTCAGAGGCCATCAGCTTCCTTGTCCCCTGCCCCCCTGGCCTGTCCTGTTTACTTCGCTCCTCGGAGTGGCCTGGAGAGCCGGTGCTTGAATACCCTAATAGACCACCCTTCAAAGGGGACCCCAGAGAGGGGGCTGGCAGCTGAACTGTGCTGTGTACTCTGGGGAGATTGCCCAGATTCAAAATGCAGCCTGCTTAAAGAAACGATGGCTTTTCTGATTTTTAACAATGGTATTCTCTTTTCATGTTTAGATTATGTGGCTTAAATTTTGTCTACAGTCTATTAAGGTTTTTAAAAAACTATTACAATAGAAAACCTTCCTATAATTAAAAAAAAAAAAATCCGTTACAACGTCCAAGTAACAAGTGTTATTAGTGACATTTCCGTAATAAGGCAAAAACTTTAGTCCAAGTGTCATTTAAATGAACTTGGGAAATGTTTAACACTCAAGTTTAGGCGCCTGTCAGATCAAGAGAGAAGCTTTTCATCAATGAAGAACAATATTACACGTGAGTGAGACCATCTTTTAAGTAGTAAAGAAACAACTTAGTTTTTCTTAATTTCCATCAATTCATGTGATTCAAATTCTTTTTATTCAGAGAATTTCACTAAAACTTGTAGAAAGAATGACATTTCTATTCTGTTCTGTTCCTTTAAACATTAAGAATAATTTCCTTTTTAACATTGGGTGCAGCACGATACTGAGGTAGTAACGGGGAACAAAAACCCACTGCCTTTTCTAAGTTCTTTTCCAGTCAGCCTGATGTTTACAGAAATGATAAGTCTTTAGCAAAAGAAAGATGGCTCCCCTGCCTTTCTAGTTAACACTCATTTTTGTCCTGAGGCCTCTGTTTTCTGTCCTCATTATCTTTTCCTAATTGTTTTTTATCAGCTGCTACCAAATTATGCACATAAATAAGCTTGACTGGCCCTAGCCAGGTTCTTCACTTGCTGAAGTTAGAAAAAGTTCAAGTGGACTGCCTTCACCTGGCCCTAGGGAGGCAAGCCTTCATTTGAGAAAGGAAATGTTTTGTTTGCTTAGAATTGGTGTTTTGAACCAGTTTATCTTGATAGGCATGAACCTTGTTTGATGTAATAGGTATTTCCCCCGCCTCCCCCCCCCCCCAATCAACTAAAAGGTAATGAAAAAATAAGCTATCTTTGTAGTATTGGTAGAATGTTCATTCTTAGCCCCACTTTGGTTCTAATTTAGGCCATCTGTTTACTTATTTAATATTCCCTTTTAGTAGCCTCATTTTATTATCCTTCAGTTCATTTCACTCACTTTTTTCTGTACTTCTTTTAACTGCACATCCCCTCACCTGATGTAATAATCTTATTTATATCATACTTAACATTAAATTGTCCTGTAACTGAACAATTAACAGTGAGTCTGCAGAGTTAAGATTTTGTTATTATTATTTTCTTATTTGGAATTAGCTTTCAAGTGTGGGCTTATTTTTTGGCTTTTTGTTGTTGTTGTTGATTAAATGGATATTTATCTCAATGAGGTTTAAATATAGCCTTCTCTTTATTTAATTGGTAGTGTCTCCTCATTTACTGTTAAGTGTTCCTGAGTCATTAAGCTGACAGACTTCAATTTTAGTTCAGGAGAGAAATTCATAGCTTACTCAAAACATGTGAGCTGTCATGCAAATTCCTGCCTCCCTTTTGGGGAGTGACACTTCTGTCCCTGTAGAAATGATTGCCAGCAAGTAGCCAGTCTGAGTCTTACGAAATGCATGTTCGCGTAGCCCGTTGCCACGTGTCACCAGTCTGCAGCCAGGCCTCTGGTGGACTTGGCAGGTTGGACTGGATCAATGCAGCACAGCTTCTCCTAAGCATAAATAACTCGCTGTGAGTACAATTTGGTGTTTGTTGAGGGCCTAGTAGATGCTAGCTAATTATCTTCGATTCCAGCCAGTCCCTTGAGGAAGGATTTATTCTAGAGGATAAGGGGCAGGAAATCATACCTGTTTTACCTGAATTAGCTCAGTGAAAGTCAGCTTTCAGAATTTGAATGAAGTGTTTTTGCCACCATTTATACTCGAGAGTGAATAGTGGAAGACGCACCATGGTGCTGTGGTTAAACATGACGTGTAGGGCCATTTTGACTACAACAGTTATGTTTATTTTGGCTGTTGTTTTGTTGTTGATTTGAGCACAACTAGCGACCCTATGAACAAAAAGGCTTGAAGCCCCTCTACAACTATCAACATTTATCAAAGTTCATAGGGTTTCCGGAGGCCTGTTATTTAGGAAGTGGATGCCACTCCTGCTTCCATTTTGGTTGGGATGAGCAAGTCTTTAAAAACTTTCTTTTCCTTCTTGAGTATAACCTGATCAAAGTAGCTATAATCCAAACCATATACAAGCAGTGATACTAAAAATCCAAGGTACATACAATGCTTTGTAACAACCGCCAGGTGCACCTTTGTCTTATTACTGTATGATAATGAAGTATGTCAGTGTATATAGAAGTGGTTCTTTAATGTTTTGGTTTGGGGGTTTTTTTTATGTGTAGATAGGTGTACTATATACTAAGATAAATCATTTGACTAACCAACATTAGATATGAACTGTGATAAGGACCACAAATTTGATTTGGAGGCAGGTTTAGGAATGAATTCACAATCTGGAGGCTGCCTGTATAGGCTTTGCATCCATTGTTCTCTAACTTCAGTGCTTCGAGCATTCACACATGTTTATGAGCCCACTATGAAAGCATAGCACATTGCAAGGGACAGGGGAAGAACAGGGCATTAACTGTGTCCTTCCTCACAATAAGCATGATTTGGAGATGAAACAAATACACAAGTTGAATCGCTATGTGGGCATCTCAGAATAGTGTGGCCAAGCCCCTGGAGCCAGATAGAACAGGGTTCCAGACCCACCTCTGACCCTCACTACTGTCGAGCAAAAGTTGCTTAAACTTTGCACATTGCCACGTTTCTTCATTGTCAAATGGAGAACAGAATCTGTCTCTCCTAGAATTGTTCTGGCTGTTAAAATGAATTGATAGCCATGAAGTGCTTAGTGCAGTACCTGCCACATAGTAATGATTCAGTAAGTGTTAGCCATGATGGTTACTTGTTGGGGAGTGCTTCAGTCAGGGAGACCATAGAAGGAAAGGAGAAAGCGTAGGAAACAGTGTGGAAGCGGAAGGCTCTGTGAAGGAAATGGGACTGGAGCAGGACTTTAGAAAGGCAGAGAAGATTGGGAAGGGATTTGGAAATTTAGGGGGAAGGAAGGAAGGGCATTTTAGAAGACCTGAGAGTGGAATGCTTATGATACCTGTGAGACAGGCAGCAGACATGGCTTGTAGAATGGTGTATTTCCTTGGAATTGTCATGTACATCCTTTTGTTGGGGAGAGGTCATTTTGGAGAAAGAGTCCTGGATTTCTTTTTTTTTCTACTTTTTTGTATTTTTATTTTTTTTATTTCATTATTTTTGTGTGAGTGTACCGTCAAATCAGATCTGACTGGTACAGGAGGAGATTGTTCCTCCTTCCCCCAGCAGAGCATCTGGTGGATTCAAACCGTGTGCCTCTGGGATTGTAGTTGCAGTTCCTTTCCACTAGGCCACCAGAGCTCCCTGAGTCCTGGATTTCTAATGTCAAGCTGTGTTTCCTTGGGCAAAGCAATTAACATACCTTGTGTCTTAACAGGAGCTTATTTGAGCAAAATAAAGAGTTGACTTTGAGAATTTAAGACATTCTGGTATGTGTGTACTCAGTAGCACTGTGCCTGGCCCTGTGTTTACAGCCTGCTATTCTGCCCCATTCCACTAGACTTCCAGCTGAGTGATAAGAAAACTGGTACCTCCCAGCCCTCACAGTGTTTATGGTGGACAATGATTCAATTACAGAAGAGGGATGAGGGCTCCGAGACCATGCCTTAGGCAGGGTTAGATCTAGGCAGGCAGTTTGGCAAGATGGCCCAGAGAAGGAGATGACCAAATTAGTGTATATATATATATCAGTTTGGGCTGAGATATGATTTTGTTGTTGTTGTTAAGTGCATTCAAGTCATAGACTCATAGACCCTATGAACAAAAGACCTAGACACTTGTATAACTTTCATCCTCTCTCCAGGTTCATAGGGTTTCCGGAAGCAAACTATTTCAGAAGTGGATGCCACTCCTGCTTCCAAGCTTGTTTTAATCGGGGAGCTCCAACAAACACTGTCCACCATGGGTGACCATTCTCACATTTGACACATCAGGGTCACAGTGTTCAGCTTCACTGCAACCACAGGTTACCTCTGTACAGCAAGTGGATAGACCAGGGCTATACGACCTAGAGGAATGTTTCATCAAAAACAATTAAAAACACCTGAGGGCTGCGGATTAGAGACATATGTCTTAAAAAAAAAAATTAGAAAATTAATCCAGGGAGTCAAACCCTTTCCGAAAAGTTCAGTCACGGCCAATGGAAACAAAGACACAATGCCCATTATATGCCAACCCTTCTGTGTCAGATTTGGCCCAAGTAAGAAACAGGAAGCAGTGTCAGTTCAATGAGGTGACTGACCACACAGACCCTTTGGGATGTGTCAGGGGACCCAGGTCGTAGCTGTTTCCTGGGTCAAAAGCCAATGCACTTAAGATGTGTTTCTGTTTCCATCAGCCATGACCAAGCGATTTCAAACCAGTTCAGAGCCTTGACTTAATCTCAGTTATAAAAAAAATAACTCAGAAGGGAGCTCTAGTGGCCTAGTGGCAAGAAGCTGCGCTGTAATTCTGAAGGCATGCGGTTCAAATCCACCAAATGCTCTGCTGGAGGAGGGGCAATCTCCTCCTGTGCCCGTCAGGTCTGATTCGACGGTACACAACAAGAAGGGGTGGGGGTGGGGGAAGTTGTCAACAATTTCATGGGGGAAAAAAACCCTCTCAGATTGGAGCTTCATCTTGTTAATTCAAACATCTCATCCCGTTTTCACCATCTTATGCAATGATGGTGGTGGAAATTTGAGTGTTGGATGAAAGAGGTCCGTTTACTAGGAAGTTTCACATAAATGAGGAAATTTGTACATGTTGAACAGAGTTGTTCATAACCTATTAGCAATTGAGAGTTCTTGAACAGTCTAAGAGAGGTTTCCTGTTTAAATATAACTCTGGAAAAGAGCTATTTACGTGGCTGTCCCACAGCCCAAGTCTGGACATAAGACCTATGTGTTCAGAGCTCTGGTCTGTCAGTTGCCCTGTGGACTGAAATTGAGTCATCTTGGTTAAATAATCTGGACCAGTGGTATTATTCCTTCTATACCCTGGACATTCCCTCAGGAAATAAACCCCAGACAGCCAAGTCATAACTTTTATACTTAAGAAACTAGGTACATTTCTCAAAACAACACAGTTCTACTTGTGTCCTCATTACTGGTACATTTTACTCTAAAAAGCTCACAGTTGCTAACAGATTGACTCCTACCCATGTCAGTTCTACTTGAGTGCCCTGCAGAGTGTTCAGTGGCTGGTTTTTCAGAGGTGAGTTGCCTGGCCTTTCCTTTGAGGCACCTCTTGATGGGTTTGAACTCCGTATTTTTCAAGTGAGGGCGCACTGGTGCCTTAGGAGTGAGACATTGTGCTGTCACCCCATCTTTCATTTGAGCGCTGGTGACTTAGTGGTAAGGACTTGTGCTGCCAACCCAGAGGCACATGGTTTGAATCCACCAGCTGCTCCACAGAAGAAAGATGGACGGTCTCCTCCTGTGCAGTTTACTGCTTCTGAAAAGCCACTGGAGTGCCAGCCGTGGGTCCATTCCAGCCCAGTGGTTCACAGCACAGCAATCTTTGCGTTAGCAGCCAAGGACAGTCATTGTTTTCCCTACCCAGGACTCCTTATAAAACTAATCTAATTAACATAAAAGCAAGGTATAGAAAACATGGCGAAATGTGTATTCTTTGAAGAGAATTCTAAAACTAAGGGTGAGTGGGAAACAGGCAGATATTTTCATCTAAAAAATGTCAAGATCACTCTGTTTTCCCCTAATACTTGCTTTCTTATTTTTTCTAATTGTTCTCATATATAATTCTCTCCGTGCTGTCTTTGAAGTACAGTATTCTCTGAGATTTTACCTTCTTTCTGAAGATTAGACAGTCTTGTTTTTAAGATTTCACAAATCTTAAAGAGAATGCTACTTAATTTCTTTTCATTTAGTGCTGTCATTATTTACTGTGAAGTCAGAACCCCCTAGCTAACCCTCGGGTGGGTTTTCAGAGGAAGTAAATCCCACGGGAGGAGATTACCCACCCTTCTCCTGCAGAGCAACTGGTGTATTTGAACTCCATGCCTTTGGGATTGCAGTGCAGCTTCTTACCACTAGGTAAGAAGAAGGTAACAGAGTTCCCTGCTGTTATTACTGTTAGTGCTGTTAATGCAAGTAGGCAATTGTAGAGCATTACAATGTTGGTGATTTCCAAACATTTTCAAGTGTCTTTTCTTTGTTTCATAAATCCATTTCCTCTTCCAGATTGAAACATGTTGGATGTCTGTGACCGATACTTAACCATTTGCTACATAGTCTGCAAATTGCTTTAACAAAGTTGCCAGCTTTGAGGTTCCTCCTTTGATCACCATGAAATAAGTACAAATAGAGCATGTGAAAGTATAGGAATAGATGGTTTATTAAATCATCTGCTTAGATAAAGTGTATGAAAATGGAAGATCACGCTGACAGATCTTCGTTTCTGAGAATACAAATGCATTTGTTCTGAGTAAGGCTAGTCCAGGGCACTCTGGTGGCATCATTCAGAGCAAGTTGCACCGCAAACCCAAAGGCCTTGCATCTCTCTGAAGGTTTGGATCCACCGGGCGGGTTCCATGGTGGTTTCTCCTTGGGGGAAAGCAGTCTCCTCTCCTTGACATTTCCAGCCTCAGAAACCCGATGGAGCATCCCTTTGAGTTGGAAGCAACCCAGTGGCAGTCATTGAGTTTGAGTTTCTTAAGCTCAGTCCCCTCTGTACTTTGAGACAGGAATGGATAAGGAGCACTAGGACTGGCGTACACCTCTCTTTTTAAGGAAAAGAAAATGCTGTAGATGATATTTTCCAAGTCTTTTTCTGTCCATTCTTACACATTTGAGATATTTATAGGTCTGCTATGAGATGGTTGAAGGAGTATAATTTCAGTCTTGACATTGCTGAAGTAAATTTCAAAGCTAAAATGTGAAATTTAAATTGATAGTTTCTTCTTCATGTAGTTATCCTGCTAAAGATGTGCCCTGTCTCGTCTAGGCTTTAAAGGGAAGGTATTTACATCTGCACGTCACTGCAGGTGGGGTAGCGCGTCCCTATCTGATTATGAAGTTGACTTTGGTATGTGGACCTAGTGGTTATGGTGATGTGTAACTGATGACCTAGCAGTTTTTCCACTGTTTTTCGTGTCAAAGTCTTAGGTACAAAGATCCCTGATTCTTGATCATTTCATTTTACTGATAACTCCGTAATAGAATAAAGGTGTGATTCCATTGAAGCATTTCCCCTTGAGGTTGTAAACAGCTCGTAATTGCGAGGGAGGAGAAAATATCCCAAATCATGGTTTAGTTATGTTAGTACCTGTTTTTGTCTCTTTTTTAAAATAAATCACCTTGCTTTGCTTAGATAGAACTCATTTTCCTTGACTTTGCAGTCTGACGAATAGAATTAAATTTAAGCTCACCACTTGGGTTTTTACGTTCCTTTGACAACATGATAGACAATGACAGAGTTCCACTTTATGAGAAAACCGTCCTGCTGTCTTCTCGATTGTCATGTCTGCTCTGTGTGGTTTTTTATGCAGCTTGCACCTTCTCTTCCTTTACAAGAAGATTTTGTTTATCACTGGAAGGCGATTACTCATTACTACATCGAGACTTCAGGTAAGGAACCCTAGTGTTACACGAACAGAAAGTTTGTGGGATACTAATGTAAAGTAGGGAAGTAAAATTGTAAAAATCTCTTTTTTAAGTGCACAGTTTATTAATATTAAAGTAAAATACACTTTGATGAAGTTCCAAGGTATTTTAGATAAAAATTTTATAAACCATGTGTCTTACTTGTTTGTCCTTTTTGAGATTGACTGATGCATTCATTCATGAAAAATAGATCTGCTGAACCTCTGCTCTGTGTTAGACATCATTCTAGGCACTGAGAGGGTACAATAAGCAATGAAAGCCCTTGTTCTAAAGAGCGTATGTATTAATTGGCGGACGACAAGAGATAAATGGACAAACACATGTGGTGTGTGAGATGAAAAATGTCAGGAGAAAATGAAATAGGATGGGGAACGAGTGGGGTTTGAGAGAACAGTCTGCTGTTTCGGGTGAGAGAAAGTCTCTTGCACAAGGGAGCATCTGAGCAGACAAGAGAAGGAGCAAGGGTGAAAGTCCGTGCGAAGAGATCTGAGTGCACACCCCACTGAGGAGGAGCCCACAACATACCTGGAGTATTCCAGGAACTCCAAGAAAGGCAGGGTGGCTAGAGCCACATGAGTGGGGGGCACGAATGTGAATGGCAGATGAGCGGGATGGACAAGGGGCAGGCGGGGTCACACCATGTGATCCAAGTGGGCTTCGGCTTTCACTCTGTAATGGGAAGTTATTGGAAGGTTTTGTGCGGAGATGTGATGTGATCTGTTCCAAAGGCCCACTTTGGCTCTGGGAAAAAATGAGGTGGAAGAGATGCAAAGATTAGTAGAAGAGCTGGGAGACTATTGCTGTGATTTCAGCAAGAGACACAGCAGGAACTCAGAGCAGGTGGAGGTCATGAGGAGGTGTGGTTTTCAGGATAGATTTTGAAGAAAGATTTGTTGATGGAGTGAGAGGCGAAGAGCAAAGGCGAACTCCAAGTTTCTGGATTTAAGCAGTTGGAAAAAGAGAGGAGCCACTCACTTCCTGCAGATAGGAGTCTGCAGGAGAGAGAAGCAGGTGCAAGGGGTTTTTGGCAATGCTAACTTTGAGATGCTCATAATCTATCCAGTTGGATATGACAGGTAAACTGCTGGGAAGAGAAAACTGGTTTTTCAGAGTCATCATTGAGTACCATCAAGTTGGAACCAAGGAAATTTCTCATCCTCTCCCACAGAGTCAATGTTGGGTTTGAACCATGTGCTTTCGGGATTGCAGTGCAGTTTCTTACCACTAGACCACCAGAGCTCCCTTTGTTTTTCTGAAGAAGGGTCTAAACTAGAGATCTGATTTTGAGTCGTTGGCGTATAAAGACAATTTAAAGCCATGAGGTTGGATGGGATTATTAAAGGAGTAAGGACAAATGGAAGAGAGAAGATGGTAGCACTGAGCCTGTGGGCACCACAGTTAGAAGCTGAGAAGGTGAGAGGGCTAGCAAAGGAAATTGCTTTTGCCAGGAAAGTAGAAGAGCCAAGAGCAGTGGGTGGCCTTGAAGCCAAGGAGAGGGACTAATTGTGCCAAGGATGCTGATGGCAAGTTAATGAAGATTTGTGAATGGATCATTGGGTTTATTCACAAGGCGCTCATTAGATAAGCTAAGAGCCCTTTTATTGGCTGGAGGAGGGTAAAAGTCTGATTGGAGTGGGTTTAAGAGAAAATGGATCAGGGCCAAGTTCAGAGGAGGCGTGTCCACTGCTCTTTTGAGGAGCCTCAGTGGGCTCTGACAGCAGTGACTGTTAGGAGCCCAGGCCTGGGCAGTGCTGCCTTCTGTTGCTCGCAGGGACATTGTGAGTTGGAATCAGCTGGATGGCATCTAAACCGAGAGAGCAGGGCAGCAGCCCGATGGAGATGTGGCCTCTAGAGAGGCTTTTATTTATGATTTAAAGGTGGAAGATACTGCAGCATGCAGTTGGAAGGCCTGATTTAGTAGGATGGGAAATGGTTACAGTGAGATGAGATTGTTTCTGAGGTTATTTCCTTCAATAGGCAAGAGAGAGCATGGGACCAGAGGCACAAGGGGAGACTTGGCCTTAAATAGGAATAAGAATGTGGACTTTTATCCGTAAAAATTAGGTGGAAAACAGAACATATGGGTCTAAGAGCAGGAAGAGGAAAGACATAGTGGAGGGCATCTTTTGAAATGATCTGGTTGCTTCTCTTTTCTTAGTGAACAGGAAGGATGGAGACTAACTGGGGGGAATGGTGAGCTGTTTCTGGAAAGAGCCAGATAGTCTCTGTTGTAACCACCAGCTGTGCTTCTCTTGTGCAAAAGCAGCAGGAGACACCAGAAAAGAATGAGCTTCCATTGTTCAACACAGTGTTATTTACATACAAAACAAGCAGCTTGCCTGGATGTCGTCCCCAAAGTCTTATTCCGCTGACTTTTGAAATAGAGAAATATGGTGGTCTTGGTCCCTGGGGCACCTGGTCCCCTTGAGGAGTGTTGAGGTAAACACGGGCTGTGCAGAGTGACAAGGACACACACCATTAAACGGACACCAGCGACCCACTGCCAGCACATGGCCCCAACTCAAGGAGTTGTTGGTAGATTCAAAGTGCCTGCCTTTCAGTTAACAGCCCGCCTTTTAGCACACTACGCCTCCAGTCCTCTTTACCTGGAAGGGAACACAAATGACAAGAGTTGACTTGACAAACTGATAAGGACATAGGTGATTTTTTTTTTTCTGTTTTTAGGGAAAAAATGTGATCTGTTCTGTTTGGACAAATAAGTAAAGCTCAGATGGAAAATAGCTTTAAAAGCAAGACATAATTCCCAAACTTAGTTTTGTTATTTAACCAGCAGATCAGAGACAGATTTCTTTGATTTTTTTGAGAAAGGCTGGACTTTGGATACCTGCGAGGCTCCGTGCCTGCGCGGTGTTGAGGAAACGCATGTGTACTTGCCTTATTTTCTGCAGCCTTACCACGGAGATGTGAGCGTCCATTACAGTAAAGCATGGGCACATTGAAAACTCCGTGTCGGAGGGAAGTAGAGGAGGCAGCGGCAGCCCTGGGCTTTAAGGGTCAATAACTCAAGCTCACTGCCAGTAAGTGGATTCCAAGCCCTAGCAGCCCTCCACTGGATTTTGGGGGCTGGAAATATTAATGGGGAGAAACTGCTGCTCCTGCTCCGGGGCGAGCAGCTAATCGGGCTGAACGGTTAAAGTGTGGCTTTTTGGTTAATAGTGTAACACGCTACAGCCATCTGAACGTTGTTGTGTGCTGTCAAGTCAGAACCGATGTACAGCTAACCCTCCAGTTTTCCGAGGCAGGGGAAGGGATTACTCGTTCTCCCTCAGAGCAGATAGTGGATTTGAACTGTATGCCTTTGGAATTGCAGCAGTTTCTTACCACGAGGCTACCAGAGCTCCCTAAAAGATAAAAAAGACTGCAAACTGTGACTCAAATCACGATAAAAAGTTAAATAATAAAGGGAGCTCTGGTGGCCTCGTGGCAAGAAGCTGCACTGCAATCCCAAAGGTACACGGTTTGAATCCACCAGATGCTCTGCCGGGGACAGACAATCTCCTCCTGTACCAGTCAGATCTGATTTGACGGTACACACACACACACACACACACACAAAATAATAAAATAATAATAAAAAATTTTTAAAAAATTAAAAAAAAGTTAAATAATAAAGGGAGCCCTGGTGGCCTTGTGGCAAGAAGCTGCACTGTGATCCTAGAGGTATGTGGTTCGCATCCACCAGATCCTGGAGAAGGAGGGGCAGACTCCTCCAACTTGAAGGTACACACACAAAGAAATAATAAATAATAACATTTTAAAAACTCTTTTTAAAAGTTAAATAATAAAAACACAAATATTACTACACAGAAGGGTAAATAGGAAGTTAGAAAGTGGAGAAAGAGGGTAGATATGTCTTGGAGAAAGTGCAGCCAGAGTGCTCCTTAAAGGCAATGCCAGGGATGACGACGGCACAGGACAGGACAGAGTTCAGGTCTGTTTTCATAGGGTCGCTGTGAGTCATACTTGATGGCACTTAACAAAAACAATGGAAAAAACCGTGTACGCAAAGGCTTTACGAGTTTGGAAATGATGAGTATGGACAGCAGAAACTAGATCTTGTCTTCCAGGGAGCTAGGGTTTTAATCCTGTCAAGTCAGATTTACAGCGTATTCAGTTCGCAGTGAAAACAAGTTGTTCTGGCCAGCTTTTCCAAATAACTACCTGGAGTCAAAACATGCTTAAGTCTCCATTCTTTCTTAGAGTATTTACATAAAGCCTGCAAATTACAGAGGGAAAACATTATTTTACGTGAAATATGAGGAGATTTACAGATTTTTTTAACACAGGGCTGCTCATTTTCCATTACTTTCGCAGCATAACGTAGCCACAGTGAAAGCAGGGCCTGTCCTCACCATGCTGACGCAGGACCGGGCCGCATTCTGCGGTGTATGTAGTGACCACGTGTCAGGAGTTACATAGCCAACAGCGACCCTCCATCTTTCCTGAGTTTTTCACTTGAAGACCAGCCTGTTTCTACGTAATTGTTGTTGTGTGCTGTTGTGAACATAGCTGACCCTCCAGCGAGTTTTCAGAGGCAGTAAATGGTACTGGAAGATATTGTCCATCTTCTTACAGCAGAGTTGCTGGTAGGTTTGAACAGTGTGCCTTTGGGTAAACAGCACAGTTTCTTAGCATTTGGCCAGCAGAGACTTAAAGTTCAGATCTTAAGTGGCTAATTGACACAAAACGAAAGAGAACAAAACCCTAAAGCTCATCTATTTTACGTGAAATTGTGAATGCATTCAAAATTCTGATGTTGTATATGCATTTTTCCTTATCATGTTTTCTCTTTCCATATAAATGGCCTTTATTTCTGAATTACTGTGGATGAATATAGGGTCAAGCTCCGGGAGCCTAGTCCATAGTGAGTTCCACTGCCAACCAAAAGCCGAGCATCTGAGTCAAACCCACCAGTGTCTCCACCAGAGAAAAATGAGCAGTGTCCTCCTATTAGAGTTTACAGCCTCAGAAACTCGCCAAGGGTTTGCTGAGTCACAGCTGAGTGGCCAGCATTGAGCGAGTCAGTGAGCGATGAATGCAGTAGAAGTTTACAGAACATTTCAGAATACTGATTCAATTTCTGAAGAAGAACACAACAGAAAGCATTGACTAGTTTTTAAAGGAGCCTGGGTGGCCGAGTGCATTGTATTTTGGGCTGTTAGCTGAAAGGTCAGCAGTTCAAATCCACTAGCCACCTCTGGAGAACGATAGAGCAGACCTGCTCCCATTAAGGTTATCGGCCTGGGAAAGCCAGTGGAGGTCACCATGCCTTGGAAGTGATCCCATAGCAGTGGGTTTGGATTTTTTATTTGGTTTGAATTTCAAGCAGAGAATTTCCTTTTGTACATAACCCTCACTTAACGTTTGTAGTTCACATTTTCTCCCTCTGACAAGAGTAGGGAAATAGAGTATTAAAAGTGTAAGGATTCTGAGGCTCCGTCTAACATACTTTGGACATGTGAGGAGAGACAGGTCCTTGGAGAGGGACATCATGCTTGGGAGGGTGGCGGGACGGCGCAGGAGGGGAATGCCCTCTATGAGGTGGATTTATTCAGTGACTGGGATAATCGGGATGGGAGTGTTGGAGACAGTGCGATTGGCACAGGACAGAGCGGAGTATAGGGCTGTTGTACATAGGGTCGCTATGAGTCGCAAGCGACTCAACGGCACATAACAACAACAACAAGTGCATAATTTAAAAATATGTTTGATTGTTTGATTTTATCTTTGTAGATGATAAAGCCCCAGTGACAGATACAAACATCCCATCTCATCTGGAGCAGATGTTGGATATATTGGTGCAAGAAGAAAACGAGCGGGAGTCTGGAGAGACGGGGCCGTGTATGGAGTATCTGCTTCATCACAAGATCTTAGAGACTTTATACACCTTAGGGAAAGCTGATGTAAGTTCCCTCTCCACGTCATGACCCTGGGCTCCTAACACAGGCATTGACCTTTCACAGTGACCTGCCAGGTGTCAGAGTCAATGACAAAGGTAAGTACTGAGCATGGCAGGATTCGAGGCAGAGTTCTGAAGAAACTGTGGCCTCTGTGACTCGGACAATCCATAGAGGTAGCAAAGCTCCCAAATGCTCCAGACAACAACTGGCATGTAGGCAGCTTCAAGTGAGAGTGTAAACATTTATGAAAATAAACCCATGCATGTGCACAGAGTCAAAGGAAACGAGAAAGAACCCAGTGAAAATGGATTCTGAAAGTAGAAATTCTTTTTTATGAATTTGAAAGAGGATGCCACTTATGATGCAGGCATTCACTTCCTGGTGCATGGAGCCCACTCCGGTGTTTTGACCTCATGAATCTTTCCAGCACTTGTCAGTCTGTCTGGTTGGCCCTTCTAAGGGGACTTGGGCAAATCTGCTACAGACTTCATTATAGCGTTTCAAAAGCAGAGAGGGCAGTTGGCGAACTAAGGTACCACTGACTCAAGCCATGTTGTTCAGTTGCCCCATATGCATATGAAAGTTCCACAACGAATAAGGAAGACCAAAAAAGAATTGATGCCTTTTGAATTTCCATGATGAGTGTCAGGTACCGCTTCAAAGTCTAAAGAGCAATGATGTCAGCTTAAAGACTAAGGTGCATCTACTTTGGGCCATGGTCTTTTTCAGTCACATGCTATACATGTGAGAGCCGGATGATGAATAAGAGTAACAGAAGAATTGATGCCTTTGAGTTATAGTGTTGGAGAAGAGTGAGTGCAGAATATCCCAGGGACTGCCAAAACAACAAAGAGGTGTGTCTTGGTGCAAGTGCAGCCGGAAGTGTTCCTTAGAGACAAGAATGGCCAACCTTCATCTCACATATGTTAAGCATGTTGTTAGGAGAAGCTATTCCTTGGAAAAGGACATCGTGCTTGGAAAGGTGGAGGGTCAGTGAAAGAGAGAAAGACCTTCAATGAGATGGGTTGACACATCAGTGGGATCAAGTACATCCAAGGTCATAAGGATGGCATGGTAGAAGACAGTTCAGATCTGTTGTTCATAAGGTGGTGGTGGTGGTGGTTGTTGTTAAATGCCGTCAAGTCGTAGGTGACTCATAGTGACCCTATGAACGAAAGTCCTCAACACTTGTGTGACTTTCATCCTTTCTCCAGGTTCATAGGGTTTCCAGAGGCAAACTATTTTGGAAGTGGATGCCACTCCTGCTTCTAAGCTTGTTTTAATCAGGGAGCTCCAACAAACACTGTCCACCATGGGTAACCATTATAGCATTTGACTCATCAGTGTCACAGTGTTCAGCTTCACTGCAACCACGAGTTACCTCTGTACGACAAGTAGACACACCAGGGATATATGACCTAAAAGTTGCTATGCATTATACTCAACTCAGTGACACTTAACAACTAATACAACATATACATGTGAAAGCTCCACAGTGCATAAGGAATAATAAAGTAGATTTGGTGCTGTTATGAGTGTTAGTAAAAAATACTGACTATATCATAGACTGTTTTGGGCTGTACAAGGAGGAATGTGGCATCAGGATTAGTGGAAGAATTGCCAACAACTTGCATTATGCAGATGACACAACCCTGCTCGCTGAAACTGAGGAGGACCTGAAGCACTTGCAGAATGTCAAGGACTGCCTTCTTCAATATGGATTGAAGCTCAATATCAAGAAAACAAAGATTCTCACCACTGGGCCAATTGGCAACATCAGTATGGATGGTGAAGAGATTGAGATAGTTAACAGTTTTAGTTTACTTGGCTGCACCGTCAGCACTCTTGGTAACAGCAGCCAGGAAATCAGGAGACGAATTGCATTGGGAAAGTCAGCTGTGACGGACCTCTCAAAAGTACTGAAGTGCTACGACGTCAGGCTGGAGACTAAGGTGCGCCTGATCCAGGCTATAGTCTTTGCAATTACGTGCTATGCATCGGAGAGTTGGACAGTGAATAGGGATGATAGAAAGAGAATTGATGCCTTTGAGTTGTGGTGCTGGAGAAGAGTGTTGAATATACCATGGACTGCTAGGAGAACAAACAGGTTTGTCCTGGAGAGGGTGAAGCCAGAATGTTCCCTGGAGTCAAGGATTCTGAAGCTTCGTCTGACATACTTTGGGCATGTTACAAGGAGGGACTGGTCCTTGGAGAGGGACATCATGTTTGGGAGAGTGGAGGGACGGCACAGGAGAGGAAGATCCTCGATGAAATGGATTGATTCTGTGAGTGGAGTGGTGGGAATGAATGTATTTGAGACAGCGAGGTTGGCACAGGGTAGTACGGCGTTTAGGGCTCTTGTATATAGGGTCGCTATGAGTCGTAAATGACTCGATGGCACGTAACAACAACATCATAGACTATCAGAAGAACAAACAAATCTGTCTCAGAAGAAGTGCAGCCAGTGTGCTCTTCAAAGCAAGGATGGCAAAGTCTTTATCTCATGTATTTCAAACGTGTTATCAGGACGTGCCAGTCCCTGAAGAAGGACATCATCATGGTTGGTGGAGAGCCAGTGAAAAAGAGGAAAATGCACAGGGACTGTGCGGTTTATTGCCTCTGAAAACCTTCTTCCAGGTCAGCTATGAGTTGGTTCCAACTTGAGGGTACATAACATCAACAATGTAACGTACTTTGCATGTGTCTAGTCAGGGAGTTAACAATAATAATTTCAAGCTAGTCCAGCATTTAGACTATAAAAAGCTTGGCCCCGCCCCAGCCAAACTCTAATCTCCACAATGTATCATCATCATGATGTTGTTATAATTACATCAGCGGTAGTATTACAGGCGCAGAGGTTTAATTGTATTTGTAGAACACTAGTCATTAGTATTTGATGGCAAATCTTATCCTGACAGCCACTAATTGTTTAATTGCATTTGTCTTCTAAAAGTAGAATACATTCACATGCATTATCTCTCCTAGGTTTGTGGTTTGTTGTTTTTGTGTGTGTTTTTTTTAAATCAATATGTTTGTACCTATTCTTACTTGTTTTCCCTTTTTCCCTACACCCAGTGTCCTCCAGGAATGAAGCAGCAGGTCTTGGTATTCTACACTAAGCTTCTGGGAAGAATCCGGCAGCCGTTGCTCCCCCACATTAATGTGCACAGACCAGTGCAGGTAAACCTTTGGTGCATAAATAATACATTGGTGGATTTGAGGGGAGCTCTGGTGGCCTAGTGGCAAGAAGCTGTACTGCAATCCCAGAGGTACACGGTTCAAATCCACCAGATGCTCTGCCAGAGAAGGCGGGACAATTTTCTCCTGTACCTGTCAGATCTGATTTGACGGTACATGCACAAAAATAATAAAATTTTTTAAAAAAATAATAGTACATTGGTGAATTTGGTGTCTTTTTTGTGTAGAAATCATCCTATATGACTTGATGTTAGCAGTCAAATTATGAAAACTTTTCAAAAATTAATAGCATATAGATTAGTAAATAGTGAACTTGATTAATGACATGGTATCAGACGTGTCATGTCTTTTTTGTAGATCTTTTTTTCCCCTTTTTAAATAAAATTTTTATTTATACTGGTTTACTTACCAAGTTCGTATACATTGTTTTTCCACACCAGATCTCTTATAGAGCTCATATAATTTTTTTTACTAATACGCCATTAATTCTTGAGCGTAATATAAACGTATTTGAAACATTTAAATACCCTAAGATAAATGGATACAGAGCCAGGAGGATGTAATGCTCTGTAAGCTTCCTGGTCATCACCAGACACCTTAGGGAATGAGTTGCTGGCTCAGGGGCCTTGGGACAAAGGAAGTCAAAGGAGACATTATCAAGGTCAAGTGGCATAACGTAATCTACAAATTCTACATCCTGCTTTGGCAAGTAGCAGCTAGAGTCTTGAAAGCTTACGAGCAGCCATCCAAGGTGTGACTATTGGTCTGTCCCTGTGAGGAACAAAGAATGAGGAAAAACCCAAACATGTAATGAAGCAGTTAGTCCAGAAGGCTAATGAGCTTGGTGAGCCTTAACGTCCACACTCCTGAGACCAGAACCACGAGATGGTACCTGGCTGCCATAGATGCCCTCTCTGAAAGATCCCGGATGGGTTTAGGGGAAAACAAAACTCATAACCCCAGAAGATCAAGGCTTCTAGCCACGAGGAGACTGATGGAATCCTTGAGATCCCAGCTCTTAGTCACCCTGTGAAACTAGAGCAAATGTCACCACCGTGGCTCAACTCACAGCCATATAAAAAGAAATGCCTCGAAGGTGACCAGTTACACGGAGAGGTATATATATACACCTTAGATTAGCTAACCATATAAGGTCAAAGAGTGCCATTTGCCTGAGGACACTGTCCTGACTGTAGGAAGAGATGGGATAGAAGGATTAATAAGAATCATCAGAACTGCAGGGAAGAAGTAAGAAAAGTATGATTACATTCAATGGAGATACTGAAATTAATTCTATAAAGCAAAATGCCTATGATTTTGTATGAAAAACCAGTGTGTTTTATAAACGTTCACTCAAATCACAATAAATTCTTTAAAAAGATAAATGGATAACTCTGCATGCTTGTGAAAGTAATCCAGGCTTTTTTTTTTTTTTTAAATAGAAATTAATTCGACTTTGTGGTGAAGTTCTTGCAACTCCAACGGAAAATGAAGAAATTCAGTTCCTTTGTATTGTGTGTGCAAAGCTGAAACAGGATCCCTACCTGGTTAATTTTTTCCTTGATGTATGGTACATTTCTTATCAGCCTTCAGAGAGAGTTTATGTTAAAATTTGAATTTAATTTTGTGAATAATGTTAGAAGGAATTGCAATTTGAATATCAGGTTAATTGTTTTACTCCATGGAATTCTTTTTCATCTAAGTTCACTGTTTAATTCTAGGTTGAAATCACTGTCACTACAGATCGGGCAGCTGCATGTGACAGGAGGGCTTTTGGGGGGGTTACTGAGCTTTTACAGCTGACCTAGGGGAGGCCCTGGAAAAACGAAGCCACAGACTGGAAGGAGCATTAATAGTGTAACTGAGAACCAGGGAGAGAGAGAAGCCACAGAAGTTTGTGTCATGTGTTCAGCCAGGCTTGCTGTACTGTGTACTGTGTACCGTGTGGTGTCCAGGCTGGGGTAGGAATGTATGTGCAGATTCGAACATGATTTGGAAATGACACATTACTCTCCAGCCTGGCAGCATTTGGAATCACTCTATTCTTTAATACTGACTTTTTATAGCCTTGGCCACTGAGTCATAGTTTACTTGAATCCATTTATATTTTGGATTTTGCCTCCAGTTTTGAAGTAGCAAATGATTTTTTCTTTTACTTCCTGTTTTCACCTCCTTTTTTCCAGCAGGAAAGTCATTTAGAAATATATTAGAAAAAATAAAATAGTTCTTAGTTTTGGTCTTTTGTTTTTCCTTTGGTGTTGGTGGGGTTTGTTTTCAGATTGAGGCTTACCTTCTCTAGAATGCAGCTCACTCTCTTTGCTCTACAGCTAAGCTAATTGCCGGTGAGTTGATTCCAGTCCAGGGCCCTCCGTGCATCAGTGTAGAGCTGTGTGCTCCATGGGCTTTTCAGTGGTGGGTACTTTAGGCCACTTACCCGGCCTTCCTTCTGGGCCACCCTTGGGTGAAATTGAACTGCCAGCTTCTCAGTGAGTGGGAGTAAGTGCTTAATGGTTTGTATCACCCAAGGACTCCCTCCTCTTTGGTGTGCAGGTGTATGAATCTTGACAGGTGTGTGCAGTCACGTAACCACCACCAGAGTTAACACCTGCACCATAAAGACGGCTCTCGTATCCCTGTGTGGTTATCACAACTCCATGCCAACCTGGCTGCCACTGATCTTTCTGCCCCAATAGTTTCCCTCCTACAGAAAGTTAGAGGAATGTAATCAGCCTTTGAGTCTGGCTCTTTTTTTATTTTTAAACTTACTGCATTTGAGATTCTTCCGTGAGTCTGTTTCCATTTCTTACTGATGGACTGAGAGGCTTTTGGGTTATTTCTAGATGTGGACATTTATGAAGAAAGCCCCCGGAAGCACTCACTCTCAGGCTTCTGTGAGCCTTTGGTTTTATTTCACGTGGGCAGGCGCCCAGGAGTGAGACTGTCCGTGTAACCTTATAAGGAACTGTTTGGCTACTTTTGTGGCTTCTTCACTTGACATCCACCTCACTTTACATCTCTGGAGGGAGATTCCCATCCGTCCCTGTCCTGATCAGCCTGGGTGCTGTCAGGTTTTAGTTTAGTCCTCATTTTTGCCCTTCTGATACGTGTGTGGGTTCGTTGTCCATTTTCCATTAATGAATAAATAATTCAGGATCCCAACCAGCTCTTCCAAGAGAGCTGAGTGAATGGGCGGCTGAGTGGCACGATCACCGGATTGAAATGTCAGGGCAGTGTTAGTGACGGTCAATGCTCCGTTTTCATCCTGTGCCTCATATTTTGAAAGCTTGCTTCCACATGGCTGGACTAGGCTTAGGATCAACGTGGCTGTTGTGCACAGACTCAGAGCCAACTCGATGTCACATACAGCAATGAACTTTTTTCATTTAGGAAGGTAGAAAACAGTTCTTTTCGTTTTTGCTATATTTTTACAAGAAGTACCTCAGTTGGGCTTGTTGTTATTATATGCCGTTGAGTCGTTTGTGACTCATAGCGACCCTATGTACAACAGCCCTAAACCCTGCTCTATCCTGTGCCAATCGCACTGCCTCTGACACACCCATCCCGATTACCCCGGTCACTGAATCAATCCACCTCATAGAGGGTCTTCCCCTCCTGTGCTGTCCCTCTACTCAGTTGGGCTAAGAACAGATTTTTCAAGTTCCTTCTCTTCTCCATGCAGTAATTTTCATTTGTCACAATACTTTCATATATTGTCCTCTTGATTAGACATGTAGAATATTGATGACTGAGAAATGCATTATAAATTTCTGGTTTATAGACTCTTGGTGTGAATCTTACACCACTTGTGCTCCTTTCCAGAATAAGCTAAAGACATTGGCTTCCAAAGGAGTCCCAGATGTTGTCACCTCTGAGGACTCGTTAAAAGGTCAAGACACCTTGTCAACAGACACAGGACAGTCCAGTCAGCTGGCAGGACTCTCTGGTGCCACCGGAGTGGAGCAAACAGAGTTAGAAGATGAGACGCCACATCAAATGGACGAGCTCTCCACCAGCTTGGATAATCTCAGTGTCACCTCACTGCCGGAGGTCTCGGTCGTTCGTCCAAACCAGGACTACAACTTAGTGAATTCTCTGTTAAATCTTACGAGAAGTCCTGTGAGTTTCCTTCTTTACCTTTTTTCTCAAATATGACCACAGTAATAAAGTTATAAAATGAGGGGAGGATAGAAGGAGGGTCAGTTTATACGTTAGTATAAAGCATCAAGACCTAATAGGCTTATTTTATATAAGAACAGTCTGGAACAAGGGGTGCTTAGCGGGATGGGCTGGGGAGGGGAAAGAAAGGGGAAGAAAATGTGCAGCAATGAATATATCATTTTTTAAAAGTAAAGATAAAAATAATAATGGAAAAAAGAAACAAAGGACTTAATAAGGCTGAATGATTTTGAAGTAACTGGACGCGTCTGTAGGGACCCTGGTGGCGGTGTGCGTTATGTGCTGGGCCTTGAACGAAAAAGTTAGCAGTACGTGTTGTGTTCGTGTAGTATGACACTGCACTCCCACAGAGACTCACAGGCCTGGAAGCCCACTGGAGCGCTGCTGCGAGCCAGGACTGACTGGGCGGCTGTGGGGTTTGATGTGCATCGAATTCCAGAAAGAAAGGAGGATGCTTTTCTTCCCACAGGACGGCAGGATCGCAGTGAAAGCCTGCGAGGGCTTGATGCTGCTGGTGAGTCTGCCAGAGCCCGCGGTCGCCAGGTGCCTCACCCAGAGCACGTGCTTGTGTGAGCTGCTGACCGACCGGCTGGCCGCCCTCTACAAGGCCCTACCTCAGTCGGTGGACCCCTTAGACATCGAGACGGTGGAAGCGATTAACTGGGGGTAAGAGAGCTGCCTTTGCTGCACCTACAGTCCTCAGTCTTTCTATGTTCCAGTGTATAGTCTGATCAATATAAAATGACTAGTGATCATTGAGGGAGATGGTTTTGTCGAGACTTCTGGTGAATTTGTCCCCCATCAGTGTGGGAACATCTGGCTGTTCACACAGTTACTCTATTTTCTCTTTTGTCCATTGTAATGCTCACCTTCAAGGCCATACATTAATACCAGTAACTTTACCTGGATTATTTTTATTAAAAACTTGAAAAAGAATTCTCCTAAATAATTCCTTCGGCCCTGAAGGCGCTTCATGTTTTGTATCCTCTCTTTATGGAATCTCTATTTCATTCTTTTACCATTTCTTTTTTTTTATTATTATTATTTTATTTTATTTTTATTTTGTTATTTTTTTGTGTGTGTACCGTCAAATCAGATCTGACTGGTACAGGAGGAGATCGTCCCTCCTTCCCCGGCAGAGCATCTGGTGGATTCGAACCATGCGCCTCTGGGACTGCAGTTGCAGCACCTTACCACTAGGCCACCAGAGTTCCCCTCTTTTACCATTTCTATCTGTCATTTAGCCTCTCTACACCCACTTTGATTCTCATAGGAAAACATGATTACTGCAGAATATATAAAAAGTATAAAGCAGTATAAATAAAAGTTCCCATTCTCACCCCCTACATGCAGTCTGAATGTTTTGCCATTTAACTGTCCATGTTTTCCTGTCCTGTGTTCTGCCTGCCTGACTGCCTATGTAGGGCAGACCCAGGGGCTGACATACCTTGTACGGCACTTTAAGGCAAGAAGAGAAGCGGACCATTTGGTCATTATTTCTTTTCGCAGCTCCTCCTTTCCCTTCCTTTCCTGGCTTCCTTGACCTTTTCATCACTGTTACCTCATGATTTTTTTTTTTTTAATGGGAATAAGGGGAGTGATTAGAATAGTTTTCTGTTTCCCCTGTAGCTCCATCCGGCTTCAGTTTCTCTTTCCCTACTTGATGAATGGAAGCCGTTTACATCTCTGACTTTAACAGTTTCCTCCTATCGTTTGCTTTCTTCCATAAAACCTTTTGTTTGTTATTCAGCCGTGCCTGTGTGAGTATATCATACTTTACAGAAAGCCATTCACACATCTTCATTTTTTTTCCAATGGGGAGGGTTAAGGAGTCCTGGTGGCATAGTGGATTAAGCGTTGATCTGCTAGTCAAAGGTCATTGGTGTGAACTTAAACATCTCCTCTACCAGAGAAAGATGGATAGCAGATGGTATATACCCCAAAAACTTCCAGCTTCACAAACCCAGCAGAGCACTTTTACTCTGTACTACAAGGCTCTCAAGAGAGTCAGAATTGACATGGTAGAAATTAATTTGGCCTGGGGTGGGAATGATATTTCTGGATGACTTTGGACTCGAGTTTCTTCTGTGTCCTGCAGCTTGGATTCCTATAGTCATAAAGAAGATGCTTCTGCATTTCCAGGGAAAAGAGCCTTAATTTCCTTCCTTTCCTGGTTTGATTACTGTGATCAGCTCATTAAGGAAGCACAAAAGGTTTGGATATTTGTGTTGTTGTTTATTGATAATTTTAAAATGTAAATGTCTATTAAGTAAAATTTGAATCTTTTGTCATTTTCCCCAGATACTTCTTAAATGTCTTAGTGAGGATAGTAGAGTTAGTATAATTAACAGACAAGTAAATAAACAAAGCAAAAGCAAACTTTGTGTGTGTATTACAACTTTGGAGCAAATCAAAGTTTAAGTTCTTTAATAATTCTCTAAGTATGGCTGAGTGCTTCATAAAGAAGCACTGGCCTGTTTCCCACCTTTGAGGGGATGTCAATACTATGAAGTCATTAGGATAATAGTTTTTGTCATGATATTTTCACTTCTGGTCATTTAGATAAAATGTGAAGGACTGTTAGGTTCAGATGACAACAAATTGGTCAGAATGGAAATTTTGCTTTTTTTATATTAATTCAGCTGCTCTGAAGGAGCTGGCAAAAAACAAGACCCCAAGAATTGATGGAATACCAACTGACATATTTCAACAAACAAATGCAGCCCTGAAAATGCTCACTGGGTGTGCAAAGAAATCTGGAAGACAACCAACCACCTGGCCAACTAACTGGAAGAGATCCATGATTATTATGACTCCAAAAAAAGGTGATCCAACAGAGTGTGGAATTATCGAATCATATCACTAATATCACACACAAGCAAAATCCTGCTAAAGATCATACAAAAGTGACTGTAACAGTGTATCGACAGAAATACCAGAAATACAAGCTGGGTTTAAAAGAGACTTTGGCACTAGGGACATCATTCCCAGTGTCAGATGAATCTTGGCCGAAAACAGAGAATATCAGAGGAATGTCTATCTGTGTTTCTTTGCCTATGCAAAGGCATTTGACTGTGTGGATCACAAGAAATTCTTGAGAAGAATGGGAATCCCAGAACACCTGATTGTGCTCATGTGAAACCTATACTTGGTCCAAGAGGCAGTCATCGAAACAGAACAAAGAAACATGGCATGATTCAAAATTCAGAAAAGGAGTGTGTCAGGGATGTATCCTTTCTCCATACCTTTTCAATCTGTATGCAGAACAGATTATGTTAAGAGGCTGTATTTTATGAGGAAGAATGTGGCATCAGGGTTGGAGGAAAACTCATCAACAACCTGCATTATGCAAATGACATAACCTTACTTGCTGAAACTGAGTAGGGTCTGTAGTATTTGCTGCAGAGGGTCAAGGACTATAGTTTGCAATATGGATTGAAGCTCAACATTAGGAAAATGAAGATTCTCACCACTACTGGGCCAATTGGCAGCACCATGAGGGATGGAGAAGAAATTGAGATTGTTAACAATTTCAGCTTGCTCAGTTTTCCATAATCAACACTCTTGGCACCAGCAGTCAGGAAATCAAAAGATGAATTGCATTAAGAAAATCTACTTCCCGGGACCTCTCCAGAGTGCTGAAAAGCAAGAATGTCAGTCTAGAACCTAAGGTTGTGCCTGATCCTGGTCTTCATCTTCAAAATTAATTTCTATGCATCAGAGAGCTAGGCAGTGACCAAGGATGACAGAAGAAGAATCAATGCCTTTGAGTTGTGGTGCTGGAGAAGAGTATTAAACATACCATGGACTGCCAAAGAACTAATAGGTTTTGGAGAGGGTGACACCAAGCTGCTCCTTGGATGCAAGGATTTTGAAGTTCAGTCTCACATACCTCAAGGGACCAGTTCTTGGAGAAGGATATCATGCTTGCAAGGGTGGAGGGACAGCACAGGAGAGTAAAACCCCAGATGAGATGGATTGACACAGTAACTGGGGTGGTGAGGGTAGAGACAGTGAGATGGGCTCAGAATAGAGCAGGTTTCAGAGCTACTGTAGATAAGGTCACTATTGGTCATAGTTACTCAATGGCACATAACAAAAAGGTGTAATAACTGCTGTATTGCTAACACAAACCCATCTTTTCTTCGTTAACAAAATAATAAATTGTATTCTAGACTGCTGCTGTCGCCCTGGCCAAAGCTGTCCATGAAAGGTTCTTCATTGGTGTCATGGAACCTCAGCTCATGCAAACGTGAGTAGCTCGTCTCCTATGAAAGAAGAAATGACTGCCTTCTTGTTCTTTTTGGTCACTAAGTGTCTGTTTCTCGTACTCAGTTCTGAGATGGGTATCCTCACATCAACTGCTCTGCTTCATCGCATTGTCCGGCAAGTCACCTCCGATGTTTTGCTTCAGGAAATAGTGTTTTTCATCCTTGGAGAAGAAAGGGAACCAGAGACGCTGGCAGAAATCAGCAGGCATCCTTTAAGACACAGGTTAATAGAACACTGTGATCACATATCTGACGAGGTAAGCTGGGAGAGAATTCAGAGCTGGACTAATTAACATACTTATGTGTGCAACCTCCCCATCTCCCTTTACAAGATGTTTTTAAAATCTAAAAGCACTGCAAGAATCACTTGTTTAAAGATAGTTTCTATTTACTTACTTGGTTGTCTGTTTCAGATAAGCATAATGACCTTAAGGTTGTTTGAACATCTTTTACAAAAACCCAATGAGCACATCCTTTACAACCTGGTCCTAAGAAATCTTGAAGAAAGAAATTACACAGAATATAAGCCTGCATGCCCAGAGGATAAAGACGTGGTAGAGAACGGAATGATCGCAGGAGCAGTGTGAGTTTATGTCCGACTCTTGAGAGCTCAGCATTTTATGTCAAGTTCTTGATATTCTCTCCTTTATGTCTCTCCTCATTCTTCACAGTAAAAGTCTTTTCTTTTTAATTTTTATTTTTTTTATGTGCATGTACCGTCAAATCAGATCTGACTGGTACAGGAGGAGATTGCCCCTCCTTCCCCGGCAGAGCATCTGGTGGATTCAAACCGTGTGCCTGTGGGATTGTAGTTGCAGCTCCTTGCCACTAGGCCACCAAAGCTCCCCATGTAAAAGTCGTTATAAAGTAAAATGGACTTGTCTCGATACTGCTATCCTTTTAAATGTAAAAAGATTTTTAAAAATTCATTAAATTTAACAAAATTGGTATATTCATATGTTCAGTGTACCGAACGCTGATTTGTCAACAGAATAACAAATGCGTTTATTTTTAACCTTTCTATCATCAAAGTGTTGTAAAACTTTCTAAGACCACAGCAGAGAGTCTTAAGTTTCAAGAGGGTCACAATGACATGCTGATTTGGGGTGTTCTGGTTTTTTAACTTACACTATTACTTTGAACTTAGAGATCTGGAAGAAGATCCCCTGTTTACTGACATTGCGCCAGAGCACACTTTGTCAAACCAGGAGTGGCTGCGCTCCTCACCTCCCGTTACTCCAGACCACCCAAAAGGGGACGGGAAGACCGAAGTCCACAAGATCGTCAATAGGTAGACTGCTGTTTCAACATGACTTTCATCCTTTATTTCTTTTTATAGCACAAAGTAACTCTGCCCTGAGACAGTTAAAGAAATATACAAATGTGTTATAAATGCAACGGATGTCATCCTTTAAAGATTACGTCAGCTTCCTACCATGCTTATATATATAGCAAGTAACAGCTTAGGGCCACAGTCCACAAGAGAAAAGCTCTCCTTAATGTAGAAGACCAATAGCGTTGATGAGATAAACCCCAAAGTACGCCGCTTTGAAAACACACTCACATAAACAAGTCAACTCTTAAGTACTTTCCAACTGAATCAGTGTTGAGAACTGACACATTGGTCTTACTCAGCATTGATGTATGTACGCTAAGCATAAGCCTGTTGTGGGGGTTTTTTCTGATTACTTTATGTTTTTAGATATTTTTAGAAGGCCCCTTCTGTGGTAGTTTTCTTCCCATGCAAACCTGTCACTGATATGCCTGGTTTGGCAGGTGACGTGAGAGAAAATTGCATGTGGCTCAAGATGCACAATTAGGCTGCATAAAAATCTCATTTAATTACTTAAAAGCTAGTTTCCGGAGATTAACAAAGATGGCAATCTGTCATTGTGCAGTAATGTAAAGAGGGGAAAAAAGAAAATCCCTGACTTCAGCTCACTTCCACATTAAGCAGAATGAATAATTTATAATAAAACCTTTAAAATAATGAGAGTGCACTTAGTGGATTGTAATACTAATTCAAGACAAGTTCTTCATAACACAATTACGTTTTCCAAGTTTCTGTTTGCGTTAGTACTTGGTTAAACTTAAGATACCACTAAAAACCTTCATGCATATGAAAATCAGATTGAATCTGGAGAGTATTTATTTTGTTATTTATTACGACCTTCTTTTCTCCTTCATTTAAGTTTTCTCTGTCTGGTACCAGACGAAGCAAAATCATCGTACCATGTCGAGGGCACTGGATATGACACCTACCTCCGAGATGCACATAGGCAGGTATGTGAACTAGGGTTTTTTTTAATTAAATTGATTAAGAATGTACACACACCTTGTTCCATTTCCTGTAGTCATTTCTCTTGACTTGTTTTGCTCTCTCCAAGACCCAAGTTCCTCATTTACTACTTTGCAAGTGCTCTCATTCCACAGTTCATTAACTATACATCTTTTATCTCAAGAGTTCTCTATCATCTTTCCTTATTTTTCATTTTTTTTAATTCTCTCTTCCCTGGAGCTCTACACTCACTTCCATTTCTCGGGCTATCACCCTTGTATCTATTCTCCACCTGTTTTTATCCAGAGTGATCTATACAGGCTCTCTTCCTCCACCCAATTCGTGTTTACTCCTTCATCCTGTCTTCCAGCTTTTTGTCTTGTGGAAGAGCCACAGGAAGATAGACTGATGTGGTGACTGTGGCAATGGGCTCAAGGGTGTCAGAGATGATGAGGACGGCACATGCTAGGGCTGGGTTCAGATCTCGTGTTCACAAGGTCACTATGCGTCGTGGTCACTCTTCATGGCATATAATGACAGTTTCTTGTGGAAACTGCTTTCTTGCAGATCCCCTCTTAGTTGCCTCAGTCCTCTTTCATCTTGATAGCCCTTATACTAAACATCATGCCCTCCTATTAAAAAAATGTACACTGAGAAAACAATTGCCTGTTTAAACTATTCCAAAGTGTACTGTCTGGTGGTTTTTAATATAGTCACAGTGTTGTATAATCATCCCCACTATCTAACTTCATCTCTCCCCAACTCTAGAAAAACCCCATAGTCATTAAGTGGCCATTCTCCTCTTTCCTTCTTCCCTAGTCTCTGGCACCCCCTAATACTCTGCTTTCTGTCTCAGATCAGAAAAAATACATGGTAATTTAGCATTTAAATCTACAAAGCTTGCTAATATGTATAATTAATTCTCAAAATGAGAAGAAACAGTTGCAGTCATCCATTAATCACTGGAGTGTGAAACGGACAAAGTATGAATCTAGGAAATTGGAAGTCGTCAAAAATAAAATGGAACATAATAAAGATCAATATCCTCCGCATTAATAAGCTTAAATGGCCTGCTCTTGGCCATTTCGAATTGAACAGTCATGTGGTCTGCTGTGCCAGGGATGAGAAATTAAAGAGGGATGGCATTCTATTCATCCTCAAAAGGAATATTTCAAGGTCTGCCCTGAAGTGCTTTCTTTAATAAGAGGAATTTAAAGAGAAAAAGAATATGGATTAAAACAATATTTTTAAGTTTCTTTTGTTTATTTCCAGTGTGTCACAAACAATACTTCTGTAAAAAAAACAATAAAAATTGCTAGAAAAGGGAAGAGACAAAATAGAAGTCCCAATTCTTTGATTAGATTCAACAAATGTAAAGTTATTGCTTCCGACGACTGTTAAAATCTGTAATTGCTTATATGTGGTTTTCGTACCTGTCTCACTGTGGACTGCCGCACGCTGCTGTCAGCCAGCCCTCGGACAACTACAAGCATGGTTTCACATACACTAAAGGAGAGCTGCCCGCTCTCTCGGTTACTGTGTGCCTATTCATCTCCTGTCTGTAACCCTTAGAATAACCTAGCCTAGCAGTCAGTAGCTGTGCTGCCAACACATTGACACCCAGTTTGAGTCCACTAGCTGCTCCAAGGCAGAAAGATGTGCAGTTTCCTCCTGTGCTATTTACTGCCTCCAAAACCTACTGCAATTGGTTCCCATTTTACAGTATATAACAACAGGACTACTTTTGCCTTTTAAATGCACTTTATTTATTTTCGAGTTATAATTGAATCTTTATTTCAGTCTCATCTGCCAACTAAGCATTTTCTACCGGCTCAAGGAGCAGAATCTTTGACAGGCTTCCGTTTTTTATTCAGTCACTGCTTCTGTAGAGTCTTAAGTGCAGCCATTGCTGTCTTTTCAGGTGCTTCTTTAGCCTTTTTTGTTTCCTTGGCAGCCCTGATAGCTTATTCTTGTTGAGCCTTTCTGACTTCAGGTTTTTAATTCCTCTTGGCCATTTTATAAGCAAGAGATGTACCAGTGAAGGCCCTTTGGAATTTGACTGAACGGTGGATTCTTTTCTTTTGATTTTTTTCTAATTGGCCCTTTTAGTGCTTTCTTCTGTAGAGGACAGACCAATTTATCTGCTGTGGGTTCATTTTGGAAAGGAATGCTGACATGCATTTTGCATTAAGAAACTGGAACACCTTCCCCTTCTGTCCTGGCATAGCACCTCCCATGCTCAGGGTAGATCCAGTACTCATTGAACGTGCACAGCTCAACCTTCATGGCTGCAACTGCAGGGGAACAGGCTTTAAATGCACTTTAGATGTGAAAATAAAGAAGGAATTCATTTTCTGTAAAGGAAAGAGGCTAAGTATAGGATTTAAAGGAATGCTCTGAGCTAAAGTTAAAATAGTATCTTTTTCTCTCAAGGTGTCCTGTTGATTACCAGTTGGGGACATTATCTAATCTTTCTGTCACATACTAGAGCCATATTGTTAGAGGAGAGGCTATTCCTCAGAAAGGGACATCATGCTTGGAAAGGGGGAGCATCACTGAAAGAGACGAAGACCTCCAAGAGTTGGATTGACACAGTGACTAAGAGACGATGTGGACGGCACAGGATAGGACAGCGTTCAGCTCTCTTGTTCACAGGGTTGCTACAGTTGTACTCGACTCGATGGCACCTAACAACAACAGTCGCCCTTTCCAAGGCACCTCACACACCTCATGTGGAGCACACACTTCTCATCTAAGAACATTTTCTACTTCATCTCAGTCTGGTTTTTGTTTCTGCTTTAATGATTCAAATCCTTTTCTTTCCTAGTTCCGGGACTACTGTGCTATCTGCTTAAGATGGGAGTGGCCGGGGTCTCCAAAAGCGTTGGAAAAGTGCAATTTAGAAGCAGCTTTCTTTGAAGGACATTTTTTGAAAGTTTTGTTTGACAGAATGGGAAGAATTCTCGATCAGGTAATAATTTTTAAAATACTGATGTTCATACGGGCATAGTTTGTTTTACTGTCTGTGGCAAACCTTTGTCAAGCAAGTCTTTTAGCACCATTTTTCTAACAGCACATGCATGCTTCATGATTCTGTGTCATATTTTGGAAGATCCCTCGATATATCAAGCTTTTTCTTAATGTTATTGTGCACTTAATAGATAACAGATCGTGTAAACATAGCTTTTAAATGCACTGAAAAGCAACAACAACAAAAAATTACATGACCCTCTATAGTATAGCATTCCCTTTATGGTAGTGATCTGGAGCCTAGTAGCTAATACTGTGTATTTTGTACCATTCACCATGGGTTCAAGTATTAGTTTAGGTCTTCAGTAAAACAGTATTGTTAATTGTCTTAGTTTTTCCACTAATAACTTTTCCACAAAACTTTGTTTGCCAACAACTGATGGATTGCTGATGAAAGCAATATATAAAAAGCATTTAGGATTGCTGATGAAAGCAATATATAAAAAGCATTTAGCTTTAAGAATTGTACAGTTTTTTCCCTCTTACTATAGGCCATTGTCCTAATATCCTTCATACTCTCTGGAGGGAGGTTAAATGCTTTCTTTTTATGACAAACTTAGAAAGCCTTTTAGCTTTAGTGCAGATATTAATAGATGGACCTTGTTCAGGGACAATTTAGAAGGCCTTAAATGTCATATCAAATTGAATCTTTAGCACTGGTTAAAATTTCAGGACAGAGTATTAGACCTTCTTCAGACAAAAGAAAAACTTATGAGTGGCACTTATTTTAATAAAGGAAAGTGAAATAAAAAAAAATTGACATATTTATTCAGTTGGGGGTAAAAATCTTTATCAGCCAATATGTTGTTATCTCATTGACTATTAGAGAAATTATAGAGCCCTTCTCTCATTGACTTAAAAAAAAAACCCCCAAACAAACCAACCCAGACAATCAAAAAACCCAATGGGATAGATTTTTGAAATGCCTTAAACTTTGGGATATAACATGCAAGCTTAGGAGTTAGAAAAGTACTTGCTCGCTTCGGCAGCACATATACTAAAATTGGAACGATACAGAGAAGATTAGCATGGCCCCTGCGCGAGGATGACACGCAAATTCGTGAAGCGTTCCATATTTAAAAAAAAAAAAAAAAGGAGTTAGAAAAGTACTGGCCTCCAGAAGCAGGCCACCTCCTGTTGCCAGGTTCCAGCCTAGGAAGCCCAGGAGGACAGTTCTGCATTGTCATATATGTCACTGTGAGTCAAAGAGGGCTCTGGTGGTGTAGTGGTTCACTGCTTGACCGCTAACAAAAATCCTCTAGCTGCTCCTTCAAAGAAACATGGGATTGTATACTCTGGTTTCTCTTCAAAGAAACATGTGATTGTCTGCTCCCATAAAGATTGCAGCCCTAGAGACACGATGGGGCAGATGTACTCTTGTCAGATAGGGCAGGGCTCAGGGCTTTTGTTCATAGGGTTGCTATGAGTCATAGTCTATTCAATGGTACATTAACAGTAACAACTGTTTTATCTAGGTTTGGTTATAAGAGTTAAGTGAGCTAAGCAATTTAAAATATTTTAAAAGATCCAAATTATTGTTTAAGTGTAGTTTTGTTAGACATTTCAGAGAATACCATGCTACTGAGGATTTGGAAGATTTTTTTGTATATTGTAAATACGTACATACTGCATTTTACAATACATATTTTATCATTTAACTTTTAGTAGAAATCTGGACTGAGTTTGCCTACAGCTTCAATATGTTTTAAATCAAAGTTTGTTCCAAGAAATTGGAATTTATAATCAGTATGGGCTCAATAAAAAAAAATGGGCCAGACATCTTAGAGAGATACTTCCTTTCAGACAAATACTATACAAAGTATAAAACAAAGTGATCCAAAATAAAAGATAGGAACATTATCACTAACCCCCCAAAAGGCCATCTTGTTTTGTTTTGTAGTTACTAGCAATATGAAATAGAGACCATTTCAGAGAACTGAGAAACCATTTCTACCTTGCTGAAATTTAAACAACCCACATCACGGGCTTAATGTTAAAATACCATTAAACCCCAGAGTAATGGCATGTAGAGAAAATGCAGAGCAGAAGGGGCTGTAACAGGTCCTTGTTTAAGGCCATAGGCACTGGCAGGAGAGAGTGGCATTAAAATCTCAATTATCTGATGTGGAGAATCCTATACAATTCTATGTTACTGTGATGGTTTTACTTTTTTTTTTTTCTCATTCTTTACCAAATGTGTTCTTCGTAGATTTCTAAGAAATGATTCTGTTGACTTTACAATATAATGTGCATTCATTGCTAGCAATTGAGTAGAGTCTTGGAGAGCGCGGTTTTGGAATAAATAGAATCCCGAAAGAGACCATGCTCTTCCAACTCACCTTTCACTGGAACCCACATCTCCATACATTTATCTCACTGAGGGCTAGACCTTGAATCAGTGACTCTGGAACAGTTTTCTCATCTTTGGAAACTTTGTGTTCATGAATCTAGTGGTAAGACTGAAGAAGCACTTAAAGCAAAGACTTGGATTTGTTGTGACCTCCGTGAGAGGGACTGGCCTAGTGACTGATTGTGAGGATAGGGCCCTAAGAGCCCGAGCTAATCTCCAGCACCTGAAACCCAGCCATGACAACTTAAAACTAATTCCTATAGTTTTCTATCTTGGTGGTGTCCTTTCCTGGCTTTGGTATCAAAGATATGTTTGCTTCATAGAATGAGTCTGGGAGAATGCCTCTTTTTCTGTTTTCTGAAATAGTTTATGTAGACATGGTGACAGTTCTTCTCTGAATGTTTGATAAAATTCACTTGTAAAACCATCTGGTCCAGGGCTTTTTTTTGTTTGTTTGAAGTTGTTGTATTACCTTTGCAACTTGTTTTGTAATGAGTCTGTTCAGATGTTCAGTTTCGGTTTGTGTCAGTTTGGGTAGGTTGTACATTTCTAAGTATTTGTCCATTTCCTCTAGGTTTTCATATTTGTTTTAGTTTTTCATAATATTCTAATGTTAGCTTTTTTTT